TGAAACAGTCCTGTGCTGAGCATTACAATATCTAACAGGAAAAACCTCCAGCAACAAACCTAGCATCTTATAGAAACAGCCAACAAACCTAGCATAGTATAGGAACAGTCATTTTAAACATGTCCATCACGGTCAGGGAATGCATTCGTGGGGTGAAACTGTGTGCCACATATGGCTTGGTTTTACTTGTCACCCGTCTTTGGGAAACAGTCACTGTGAAACAGGTAAATCCTGGAATACTGCAAGGCTGGCCACCCCGAGACAACATGCTTTCTTATATGTCTTTGTCAGTTTGTCACCTAACATCTAGGTAACAGGCTTCGTTGTCCCTTGGGTGAGCCAGGACGGAGCCCCTGAAGCTAAGGCCTTAGCTGTCTGTCTATACTTCTGAAAACAGCTAATTAAAAGGAAAACCCAGAGGAATTTTTACTTGAACCATCAGCACTCAACACCATGATTTAAACAATCTATAACTCAAGACACAATGCTCACAGATCTGTATTGCCCAGCAGGATGAGAGGGCTCTTAACCCCATTTCTGTTAGATGGGTAAATGCTGAGTGAGTTGGCAGAGGTCTGACAGCCTGAAGACTTCCAAGATCAGTTCACATCTTCTCTAGTGATGCTGTTGCATTTGGGGCCAAATCGTGAGAAACTGTTTTGATTTGTATTAACCAAAGGTAGTTAGTACATCAAGGACTTATATTCCCTGAACCTTCCTGGTTTCCTCTGTGTCATTATCTAGTCAGGGATAAAAGATGGAAACCATCTTGGCCAAGTGTTTTAGCTAGCCCTGTTCGGGTCTCTGCACACCCGTTTTGTAGAAAGAGTTGCCTTGCTGGGCTGCTTTTGCTTGGTTCATGTGTTCCTTTGTACAGCACAGGGATTACTCTTTGTTTTAATAAAGTGAGCCAACAATTTGACATTGGTGTGGATTATGATGGTGTGTGTCTTAAAGCCTTGGTCAGGTCAATTCAGTTGTCCTAGGCTAGTTCTGAGTGAGTTTGTCTCAAGTTTCTGGAGTTAGGTATACAGACATATACACATACATACACATATTACATTTTAAAAATGTAAGTGTGCAAAAATATATTTTCCAAACATGCTTTTTTGAGGAAGGTTTGATTCTGTTTCCATACTTTCTATGATTCCCCACAAATGGTTGACTGTAACCTACCTTGAAATTGTATGCTTCATACAGCTGCTTTAAGGTCCTTCCCAGAGAGCTCCTGTTGCTGTCAATCAGGTGAGTGCTCTGGCTCCAGGTTTCCATTGTGGAGTCCAGGTACAGATACTCTAGCCCTGTGGTCTTCTTACTTGTGTTGCCAGTCATTTGGGGTAACTTATAAAAGATAAACCTAACAGAGCAAAGAGTTACGATTTGCTATCATTCATTGACTGATTTTCTGACGACACTTTCTTTTAAACACTTGTATAGTATAGCCATTGGTGTTTCCTGGGAGGCCAGCAAGGAAGGGGAATGCCCGAGGCTTTTGCCTCTTTCTCCATTTCTTCCTTTTGACTTTCTCCGGGGAGGGCAAGCTTGGTATGGGTGGTATGTTCTATGATATTAGGTGGCCTAGGGGCTGGAGCCCCTGAAAGGAAAGCCTGTGTGTCCTGAGAGTGATTCTCTCTGCTGTCACCATCACCCCAGTGGTCACAGGGAAGAGAAGGTCAGGCGTAGGTCTTTACTGGGGAACTGTTGGATTCCTTCTCACCACAGTGCTTAGTCTGGTCTCTTTGGGGCTACTCAGGTGGGTATGAGATCTGGGTGTGAGCATAGGTGGAGGTGGAGGCTTTCTTGAGGCTTGGTCCTCAGCAACATTCTTCAGTTGTTTCCCAGAATGCTCTGGATTAAGGATTTACTTGGTAAGTATTTGAAGCAAGTCTTTCCTATTTGTATTTATGGTTTTCTGCTTGTTATCTCCTTTGACTATTTCCCAGGGAGGTCAAGTGGTTGGATCTATGTAGAGTTCTGCCAGCCTTGGAATAACCAGCCCATGCTTTCTTATGTGCTATAGTCCCATTATGGTCTAACTACTTTTTACTGAGTTGGTCTGTGTCCTGTAGGAGGATATCTAACCCTTCACTTTTAGATGACAATAGTATCCCAATGTTGTGACCCTCAAACCTGTCTCTAGATCTTGTCAAAAGTTCCCCAAGGGAAAAGTCTCCCTAATTTAAAAACTGCTGGTCTAGCCAAATATATTATAATAGCATGAAACCCTGTAACCAAACCCAAGAGCCTCTGTAAGCCAAGTGTAATACATACATCATTACAATGCAATGGTCTTCCCAAGAACATCACCCCACTCCTTGCTTGGATCTCTACACACTTACACGTCTGTCCCAGTGTTCTGCCTTCTTGTCCCAAGGCCAGGTTCTCTCATGTGGTAGGAACTATGCTAACTTTGTGACAGTTCAGGAATGTCTCTGCTAACCAGCTATGCTTGTCTTTTGACATGTATTGCTAAGTAATACACCCATTCAGTTGTGACTAAAAAAAAAGGCTATCAATCACAATTTGGCACCCCTCCCAAGCAGAGCATCTGAAGACTGTTATTATGCCACAGTCACTAGGTGAGAGAGGCACTCAGTCATTTTTCCTGGGTGACCATCTCTGTACTCATAGACCTCTGGGTTGAGTTAGACATCCAGACAAAAGGGTGCCCAGAAGCTTCCAGCTCCACATTTTTGAAACCAAATTTATAGTATTTTGCACCAAGCCAATTCATTCTATGCTATTTTTGAACATATGCTCTCAAGAGCCACCCACCCCAGCTGCCCGTCCACCTTCCTTCTTTCCAGACTTTTCCTTTCTCTCTGTTTGCACTATCACCTCTTAACTTGGGTCTTCCACTGTGATACTTTACTCCAACACCATTGGCATGCACATCGGATTGTATTGCCACCTTGTTCCAAGTCCTTAAGCAGTTCCCTTCCAAACACCAGGTTCAAATCCTAAGGCACAGCCCACAAAGCCCTTCATGACCTATGCCCCCCATTTGCGATTTGTTTGCAGACACCTCTGCATACGACTCCACCCCAAATGCCAAACGTGACACACTGCCCCTTCATTCTGCACTAATTCTTTGATCCTCTATTGGCTGGAGCTCCCATGGCATCTCCTTACTATTTTTAAAACAACTTCATAATTATTCTTAAAACTTAGCTCAAAAACAAACAAACAAACAAACAAAACAAAAACAAACAAAACAAAACAAAAACTTAGCTCAAAGTTACTTCTTCAAGGAAGCCTTCTGGACTGTGTGCTCCCCATGTCCTACACCCACAAATCTGAGCTCCTCAACAGAAGCATCTATGTGTTGTTCATATCTCTGTCTTTAAAACTCAGGGCAGGGACTAGTCAGACCTCACAAAGGCTGAAAGACTGAACTAGACATCAGCTTGAACCTCACACTATGACGTCAACCCCCATGGAAGACCTGAACTCCAGCGTTGAAGAGCAGAAATGTGGCCAAAGATCCTAGGAGGATCTCACCCTTGTGACTTACTGTGGTTCATCTCTTTGACACTGTGATAGAGACCAATAACCTCCTGCCTACTGTCTGGGCTGCCTCATGAACGAAGGTTAACCAAACAAGGTTGGGCACCGTCAATTACTTCTTGTCCCCATCAGAAGAAAGGTATAGCTCAGCTTTAGAAAAGGTCTCATGCTCTCTCAGCTTTGTGTCTCAGGAAGGGTACATGCAATGAAAGGAAACTGTCAGGTTACAGTTATCAGCTCGGTCCCTTTCTGCCTCCCAGCTGTGTCCTCCCAAGACTTGGGTACTGACTTGAGAGCTGCTTGGCACTTTCTCAGGGCTATCTCAGGCACTCAGCAGCCAGCTCTGCCTGGGGACTGAGCCCGTTCACACACTTTAATCGCCTTCATTTTAGCTAATTAATGTATCTATCTATTTATTTAACACAGGATCTCATACAAGCCAGGCTAGCCTAAAACTCACAGCATTGCTGAGGATGTCCTTGAACACCAGGCCCTCCTGCTGAGATTGTACATATGTGCCATCCTGCCCAGTTTATGTGGCACTGGGGACTGAGCCTAGCACTTCATGCATGCTAAGCAAGCACCCTGTCAACCCAGCCATATCCCCAGCCCCAGTTTTTTTTCTTTTTGAAGGGAAGAAGCCAGATGGAGGTTTCCCTTAGGGTCACCACAGACATACCTCAACTTTCTATTTGCACACACCAATCACCTCATTTCTTTTACCTACCAGTCCACAGCTTCACCGTCTTCATTTCTGCAGGAGATCTCTGGTCTCCCTAGGACCCCGGAGACGGCAAAGAAGAGCAAAGAAAGAGCTGTTTGTAGAGGCTTGGCTGTCATTTTCTGTCCGTGGCCTTCATTCCATGCTACGGACTGTGGAGTCAGCGTCCTTGAGCTGTACTGGCTCTACTCCGGGTCCTAGTCACTTTTGTTGTTCACTGTTGAGGCACAAACAGAAAAGGCTGAGTCCCATGTCATCTGATGGTTCTGTCACAACATTCCAGTGTGACTCTGGATGCCTTTGTGCTCAGTAGTTTGCAAAGTCATAGAAAAATCTGGAGGATAAAGGGTATTTATCCAGCTACCTATGTAGTTAGCTCTTCGGAGTGAATTCAATAGTGTGAAGTGTGTGAGAAAAGGAATTCCTGAAAAACTGGTGTTGAGTGAGGTGTATTCCATGTTTCTTTTCTCTTCTGATTGACTGCCTGTAAGCATAAATACATGTAATTCAAACATGAGCTAGAAATGACAAAAGCTTTGCCTTCATAATAATTAGGATCTGTCACCTATAATGACCCCTGTCCTTTAGGGAATAACTTCTAAACACTATTCTGAAGGTTGCTTCAAACTAAGAGCAAATTCGATTGAGTTTCAGCAAAAATGTTGACCTATCTTCCACACCCCCCTGGTTCTGACCACTCAGTGAGGCACTTGGCTTTGAGAGGCCTTTGTGTCTCCCTGTCTACTATGCAATCAGGTCAGTATTGATTGCTTACTCTCCAGGGCTAAATAAAAACCGTTACCAACCTCTCTTCATTTCGAACTATTCTCTCTCATTCTTGAAACTGAATCTGAAGTTGAAGGCTGAGGGAAAAATGGCACATTACCATGGCGACTATGGAAAGGTGAGCCACCCTACTCCTGAGAAGAGGGAAAGGGAAAATGGATACACACACACACATCTGCAAGTATTTCTTTACATATTCTTAAATCCTCACTCAGCGTCATGCTAAGTAGCAGTCACTTTGTCCCTGGGAATCACGGTGGCTCTTTCATGTTCCTCTCCATGATTTTGATTCAGATTGGAGTCATCTGGAGACCACCAGATCAGAGCCCTGAAGATCAGGTCACTTCTATGGACTAGCCTCATTGGTAGTCTTCAGGATTCTCGTTTGTAGGAAAAGAAGGGCTTGTGGATCTATTTCTCCTAACACAGAGAATCGAGGAGCACTACAGGCCCACTGACAAAACTCATATTATCTGTATTACCTGCAAAAGGGCAGAATTCTGGGCTTCATCTCAAACCATCAGAATCGGGCTCCCTCTAGCTGGGGTCAGGAATCCATAGTGTGTGTACAGTAGTGTGATCACAGTAGCGTGTGTATGTGTGCGAGTGAGATCAGAAGTCCATATTGGGTGTTTTCCTCAATCACTGTAATTGTTTGAGGTAAGGATTTTCACTGGACTGGAGTTCACTATCTTGGTTGGGCTGGCTAGCTTGTAAGCCCTAGTAATCCTTTTACAGGTGCTTGCCACCATGGCCAGCCTTTTAAATGTGGCCTCTGGAGGACTGAACTTAGATCCTTATGCGTGGGTGGCAAAGTACTTTATGAACTGAGCCATTTCCCCAGGCTCCCAGAACTTATACTTTAAATAAATTTATTGGCAGCACAGGTTCATCCTAAAATTGAAACCCACTGCCCTGAGGCTGAACTGATGTGCTGATCCAGCAGACCAACAGCTTTCTACGGGAGAGCTGTCAGAATCAACTAAATGGAGAAACGTTTTTCTTACCTTTTCTGCATTTCGATTTGTAGGTTATAATAGTGTTCCGAAACAACAATTTAAATCACTGTGAAATAATCAAATATTCACGGCATGAAGTTTAATTTATTTTAAAATGAAAAAAAAAAAGATTGGGCACATCAAGTACAGGGTTTGTCGAATCGTTTTGAGGACACAAGCAGCTTGCTTTTACTGCTTTGTGATCAGGGTAGAAAATACTTTCTGCTCTTTTCCTTGTTGCCACACACATATTACAGTGCTGAGAATGCTGACATCTTAGTAAAGGACCCTTTCGTGTTAGCCGAGGCTATTCTTACCTTCCTTCCAGTGAGGCCGAAGGACATCTGTATTTAGGTTTCATTTGCTAAATCCGATTTCATTTCAAGGCCCGGAAAGACACTTTTAATAAACTTTCTTTTTTGGTGTAGCTGATTCTGTCATGTGGGCTGTCTGTCTGTCAACAACCCTCCTTATGTAAGTGCTTCTTTGTCAAACACTATAATCAGCTATTGAGAGTTTTCAGGGGCTCCAGAATGGCCCAACTCCTAGATGCCAATATGTCCTTTTGTTTTTTTTTTCTTTTTACTAAAACCAATGAAGTGACACTATAGAAAGAAACCTGAGGCTTGCTGAGCAAGGTAGCTGCAAACAGGACAGAAAGCTTTTCATGATGTCCCTTGCTTCTGAAGCCACACTGTATACACCATGCTTGTTCACAGCCTAAAGATTTGTAAAAACAGTAAATTGCTTTCTTCTTGATGCGACCAAGTAAACAAGGGAGAGCGCATTGCTTGGAAACGGACTGACCTTGTGTTTGTTCACCCAGAGATTCTGGAAGATTTGAGTCCTGCTTGTTTGGAGGGCGCCTCTTCTTTCTGTCTCTCTCATGGCCCTTGTATGGTTTCATCATTCACACATTCCAGCTCCTGGTGTCTGCATTAGTGCTGGACTCCTCTTACATATATTATACTTTATTTTTAATTCTGTGTGTCTATGTGCACACACGGGTGCAGTGCACTCAGAAGGCAGAGGCTTGGATCCCCTGGTAGCTAGAGGTGACAGGTACTGCCAACTAGATATGGGTGCTGGAAACAAACTCAGCTCCTCTGCCAAAGCAACAGGAGCTCCAGTCTGCAGAGCCAGGCCCAGCTCTTGATCCTTTATTTGGCTTTTTGCATTCTCTAGAGAATTAATCTGTTACTTAGTCTACCTCTCGAAAATAACTAATTCTTTTTTTTTAAATTGTGTCCAACAGATTCTGATTATTAATTCATTGCTAGAATCTTTATTTTTTTCATATGTCTACATGAAGTATGCATGCACACATGTAGGTGTGTGTGTGTGTGTGTGTGTGTGTGCAAGTGGAGGGGATCAGACTTCTTCACCATCTTCTCAACCTCCTAATTTTATTTCCCCTACATTAATTTTTAAATATTTGCTTGTTATTTGCTTCATGCCCAAGCATCTATTTCTCTCAAGATATTAATTGTATTATTTTGTACATTGCATCTGGTTCTACTAGCTCCTGTACTTACAGGTTAGATGGGACTGGTTTTCTGCCACTCATCGTCGATATCTTTCTACCATTTTGTACTTTTCGATTTTGGCTGTAGTTTATGTTCGTTGCAAGTTTATCTGTGAGATTGCTTAAAAGACAAAGATAAAGTTGGGGTTTTTCAGCTTCTGCGGCTGCTGAGGTGATCTGTGAGGGCTTCTGTGAGTCAGGCTGCTGGCTTTAGTTATGTTTCTGAAGTATGATTTACATCCCATAAGATGTGTCTGGGTAAGCACAGCTTTCTTTCTGAGCAGACTTTACAAGACCGAGAGGGATCTAGAATGTGACAGACTGAAGGAAAAGTTGATGTGTGTTTGTTGTGTGAGCAAAGGCAGGGGCTTTGAATTGTTGAAAAAAAAAGAGAAGACAAGCAAATGTAGAACAAAGATACACTCACAAGGGTTGTGGCTAAGGAGAGTGTCACCAGGGGAAGAGGGTAGTCACTTGTATCTGGTTGGTTCCAATCATCCTCCATGCTGCTTTAAAACACTAGTTCCTTCTGGGAGCCTTCCTTAATCTGGCGTTGCTGTCCCTATCACATGTCCCAGAACTTACTCCACTGTTTCAGTAGAGTGATCAATCCAGCCGAGTGATTAATGTTTAGCATAATTAGGAAACACAATGTGTCACTACTGACATGTTTCTTTTTTGAGTCTTTTCCTAGAAAGTGGTGGGGAAACTCTTGTGGGCTAAAACTGGCCCACTGTCTGTTTTTATAAATAAAGTTTTATTTGTACACAGTTGTACCCATTGGTGTGTGTATTGTATTTAGTTTCTCTTATGCAATAATGGCAGAACTGAGCTGTTGGAACACAGTTGGACAAGCCCAGGGAATCAGCTATTTGATTTTTCACAGGAGAAGAATGTTTTACTGTAACATTTCTCCAAAAGCAGAGCATTGTCTGCCTTGTCTGCCCTTCCATCTCTGAGCATGTCACCCTGCTTTGTCAACTCCATGGCGCTAAGTCAGTGTAGCTCTAGGAATGTGTGGAGTAGAGGAAATGAATCTACAAACTTCTATTTGGAGTTGTAAGGAACTTAGAATTATGAGCCTGGAAAGGTGTCTCACGGTTAAGAGGACTTGTTGCTCTTAGAGAGGACCTGGGTTCAGTTTCCCGGCCCCATGTAGGAGCTCACCATGCTCTGTTACTCCAGTTGTAAAGGATCCAATGGTTTCTTCTGACCTCTATGTCAAGCATGCATGTGGTGAACATGTGTGTGTTTATATATATATATATATGTATATATATACATATATATATGTGTGTGTGTGTGTATACATACATGCAGGCACAACATTCGTATGCACAAAATAAGAACACAGAATGAATTAAGCGTAAGGAGAGACATCAGCGTAAGAGGGTGTGCAGGAGTAGGGAGACTCCATCACAAGTCATTTTATCCCCAGGTTTATAAGTCTGCAAGGCAGCAGCAGTAAGGAGAAGCAGGCAGCCTGCATCCCCTGCTGGGTTCTGTGTGGTTCTCACATCACTCCTGGCTTCACTGGTCTTATCGGGTGGAAGTCATTGTTCACCTCGAATGATTACTGCCTGCAGCTGAAGGCACACTGCTTGTCTACTCCAGAGAGGTCTGCCTTTCGCTTCTCCTCATACTGACAGCAGAAATACACCCATGTCAACACAGGCCATCTGAGTTTAGAATTCCCTCTGTTAAAAGGGATGGTGTGGGAAGAGACACAGCTTGGGGTTGTTAAATTTCTGCCTAAGACAGTCCAGTCTCAGTCCCCAGTCTGTCCCATGTGTGACTTTGGGCAGGTTCTTTCACATTGATGAGCCTGTTCATATTAAACTACTGATTTTTTTTTTTTTTTTGGCCAGCTCACAGAGGAGTAGGGAAGATGACATCAGTCTCAGTGGGTTGAAAATTAGATGACAGAACACTATGTAACTGTGAGTGTCTGGTAGTGGCTAATCACTTCCCTCTGTCAGGGTCAGTGTGTTCTTTTCTCACTCATGAGAAGACCCAGAGGAGACTGTCAGGTAGACTGACAGGATTGTGACAAAGGGTTAAACGCTTGGCAGGCTCTCATTTTTGACCCTCTATCCCCTAGCAGTGTGTCCTGAAAAGGTAACCTGACTGGCTCTGGTGTCTTCCTTATTCAATAACGACTACAAAATGCACTTCGTAAGGCTCTCGTGAAGATTTAGAGGAAATCATACATGCAAATTTCCTGACACGCATCAGGCCCTCAATGCATGGTCATTGTTCTTATGTTTATTTTCAAGCCTAGCCACTGGGAAGCAGACCCTTTCAGTGTGTACAGCTCAGTAGCATTTCCTTCCAGTCCTTCAGATACCTGTATCAATTCTGTATGTGAGCTTTCCATCCTTACTCTAGAAGTCCCTGGGTACCTTCTTCCCGGTTTCCTATCCTGAGGCTTCTGGTGAAGAGGCTGGCAGGGAAATTAGTTTCTCCCTTGGCTCTTTTCGTGATGAGTAAAAGATAAAAATAGCTGAGCGCCCACAGTCGGAGTCTCAGTGAGCTAACAGGTCACCCTTCCTTTTCACCATGGATATATAATGAGAATTTATTCTTCTCTTGAAA